GCATCTCCACTGCTCGGTCCGTTTCGCCAGCGGCCGCCGAGTCGCCCGCGGCTCGGCCCGTCACGCCGTCTTCGCCTGCGGCTCGGCCCGTCACGCCGTCTTCGCCCGCGGCTCGGGTCCTCACGTCGCCTTCATCAGCGAATCGGCCCGCGACACCGGCCGCGCCACGACCCACTATGCCGAGCTCGCCATCGGCCCGGTCTGTGATACCGGAGTCGCCAGCTGCTTCGTCTGCTCTGCCGGTTTCGCCGGTGGGTCGGCCTTCTTCGCCAACCGAGTCCGAGGCTACCGTGACTGGCTCCTCGTCACCGGCTGACTCGTCAACGTCGTCGTCCTCCAGCCCGTTGCAGGCTGCTCCGTCGACCTCGGTGGTTCCTGTGTCCCGACCACACACACGCAGTCGCAGTGGCATTTTCAAACCTAAGGAACGTAAGGATGGTACGGTTGCTTGGTTGGCTGCTTGTTTGGCTGCTGCTGTTGCGGATCCATCTTCTGAGCCTCGCTCATATCAGGCTGCCCTGCGCATTCCACATTGGCGAGAGGCTATGGAGTAGGAGTTTCATGCTCTTCTTCGTAACAAGACATGGACTCTCGTTCCTCCACCACCACGGGTAAATGTTATTGACTCAAAATGGGTATTCAAAGTGAAGAAGCATTCAGATGGATCTATTGAGCGTTACAAAGCGCGACTTGTTGCTCGCGGTTTTTGGCAGCGTCATGGTCTTGACTATGAGGACACCTTCAGTCCTGTCGTCAAGCCTACCACTATTCGGCTTCTTCTCTCCATTGCTGTTTCTCGTGGTTGGTCACTTCGTCAACTTGATGTGCAGAATGCTTTTCTACATGGATTTTTGGAGGAAGAGGTTTATATGAAACAGCCGCCTGGTTTCTCTGATCCTGATCGTCCTGACTATATATGTCGTCTTTCCAAAGCACTATATGGTTTGAAGCAAGCTCCTCGTGCCTGGCATGCCCGCCTTGCCTCTACCCTTCGTGCTCATGGGTTTGTGCCGTCTACTGCTGACACTTCGTTATTTCTTCTACAGAAGCCAGAAGTCACTATGTATCTTTTGGTATATGTCGATGATATTATCCTTGTCAGCTCTTCTCAGTATGCTGCTGATGCTCTTGTCTGCTCTCTTGGTGCTGATTTTGCGGTCAAAGATCTTGGGAAGCTTCACTACTTTCTTGGAGTTGAGGTCCCTTCTCGTGCTACTGGTCTTGTCCTTACGCAGAAGAAGTACTCCTTGGAGTTGTTACAGAGAGCTGGCATGCTGAAGTGCAAACCGACCACCACACCCATGTCATCTACCGACAAGATAACAACTGTTGATGGTGAGCTTTTGTCTCCTGCGGATGCCACAGAGTACAGGAGCATTGTTGGTGGACTTCAGTACTTGACGATCACGAGACCAGATATCTCTTATGCTGTTAACAGGGTTTGTCAGTATCTTCAGGCTCCCAGAGATACTCATTGGGCTGCTGTTAAACGCATTCTTCGTTATGTTCAGTTCACCCTGACATTTGGTATGCATATTCGGCCGACTTCCTTTCGGGTCCTTTCGGCCTTCTCTGATGCAGATTGGGCTGGTAGCCCAGATGACAGGCGATCCACGGGGGGTTATGCAGTATTCTTTGGCTCTAATTTGATCGCCTGGAGTGCTCGGAAACAGGCTACTGTGTCATGTAGCAGTACTGAAGCTGAGTACAAGGCTGTGGCTAATGCTACTGCAGAGATTATTTGGGTGCAGTCTTTGCTTCAGGAGTTGGGTTTGTCTCAACCACAGCCTCCTATTCTTTGGTGTGATAACATCGGTGCTACATACCTTTCTGCAAATCCAGTATTTCATGCCCGAATGAAACACATTGAAGTTGACTATCACTTTGTACGGGAACGTGTATCACAGAAGCAACTCCAGATCAAGTTTATCTCATCTAAGGATCAACTTGCAGACATCTTCACTAAGCCTTTACCGCTGCCACAGTTTGAGGCTTGTAGGCGCAATCTTACCCTTCTCAGTTCTTTAGAAAGTGGCTAAGATTGAGGGAGGGTGTTAGACTATGTATAGCTTCTGTACCTATGTACGTATATGGTACATATTGTAACACAACCATTATATATAATGAGATAAGCCACCCCTAGAGGGTTGTGCTGGTTCCTCAAAACTTATTGTCTTACAGTGCGTGGAATTTATTTTGCAGAGCCGGACACTATCCTGGTGTTCACAATCTTCCATAAATTATTCGGAGGAGGAACCCGCCTTGCAATGCCGAAGACAATATGCACGCCGGACTCGTCGTCATTGAAGCCTAGTTCAGGGCTACTGAGGGAGTCCGGGACTAGGGGGTGTCCGGATAGCCGAACTATCATCATCGGTCGGACTCCAAGACTATGAAGATACAAGATTGAAGACTTCGTCCCGTGTCCGGATGGGACTTTCCTTGGCGTGGAAGGCAAGCTTGGCGATACGGATATGTAGATCTCCTACCATTGTAACCGACTCTGTGTAACCCTAGCCCTCTTCGGTGTCTATATAAACCGGATGGCTTTAGTCCGTAGGACGAACAACAATCATACCATAGGCTAGCTTCTAGGATTTAGCCTCCTTGATCTCGTGGTAGATCTACTCTTGTAACACACATCATCAATATTAATCAAGCAGGACATAGGGTTTTACCTCCATCAAGAGGGCCCGAACCTGGGTAAAACATCGTGTCCCTTGTCTCCTGTTACCATCCGCCTAGACGCACAGTTCGGGACCTCCTACCCGAGATCCGCTGGTTTTGACACCGACACTCACCATACCAAATTAGCAAAGAAATATAACATGATTCAACACAAATTTCCAAATCCAAGCAAAAACTAGGTTTCCCCAAACTAGCAAGATTTGAGCAAATATGACAATTCCTATGGATGAAAACGAGGGGATCGGAGGAGATTACCTTAAGGGAGGGGTTGGCTTCGAAATCCACGGTCAAATACTCCGGGTTTGCAAGATTTGATAAGGATTTGAGAGGGGGGAGGGGAAGAGAGGAGGGGCGCAAGGCTAAGGGTTTGGGTGGGGTGGGGGCGTGTGGGGTGGGGGTGGGAGGGGAGAGAGGATGGGGCCAACCTAAGTGGCACACAGACAGTGCAGCGCCTAAGACACGGGCGCTGCACATTACAAGTGTAGCGCCTAGGGCTTAGGCGCTGCACAGCTGCCTGTGGGGCCGCGCCTGGCCTCGGACTGCCACGCTGGCATGAGGTGCGACGCCTAAGGGAAGGACGCTGCACAGTAGGGTGCGGCGCCTAGCTGTCGGGCGCCACACTAAAGGGTTAGCAGAGTGAAAATTTTTTCGAGAGCAAGTCAGTTCGTGATTTGATTTCGGCCTCAGGTCAAATATGTGATTTCATGCCCTGAGTGGTATGCTGGTACAAACGACTACAAAGGTCAAATCACTTGTACGTGCAAACAAACATTTTCCAACTAGAGTGCGCATTCTGCCAGTTATCTCATCTCTTCTGGTCAGCATGGTGCGAATCTAAGGTAGTGCTGTGACAGATCTGGTGCCCCTTCTTACAGTAAATCAGATCCGCAGAAGCTGCGTTTAAAGCGCAAGCTTCGTATTTTTCGTCCACCACTCCAAACTGGAAAGGCCACTGCGCCAGCTTCACATTATAGTGCTAGACATTGTGGGTTTCATGCCACATGAGTAGTTCCTGCCTGGCCTATTTGTGTTGATTTTCATCCGGTTTTCCGTAATTAACTGTGTAATTCTTGTATTCTTAATATAATCGATGAGGCAAAATTTTTGCGCCTGTTTTTAAAAAAAATTAGTGCTAGGCCTTCCTCTGGACTGTGGAGTCCTGTTACTCTGCAAAGTTAAGTGGCATGGCACGTACAAAGTGGCAACAAAGTTACTAAGCCACGATCTCGATAGGACCCCTTGGCAGTTCAGATCAAGAGGAAATACTGACAAGTGATTTCGCTTCCATAAGCTGTCGACTATTGATTCAGAGGACCAGAAGGATGAGGAAGTGCGTCGACGACTTTCACCGGCTTTCTCGACGGAATCCAGCTAGCTGCCACGGCGAAGTCGTGAAAGCGTGGAGCCACACGGCGCACGGTGTTGCTCCGCCCGAGAAAGTGGAGGCATGGGCGACGCAGTATTAGAAAGGGGCACGGTGGAAAGCCACGCGATCGCCGGATCGGATCACAGTGGCACGCACCGGCCACGCGCGATCATCGAGCTACTCTCGCCCACCGCGCGTGTTCACTCGCGCGGTGCGCCCCATGAACGCACACAGACACAGCCTCCGCCCCACCACCGGCACGCACCACGTACGGGCGACCGGTTGCCTCCCGGCGTTACAGCGACGCAGACATGAACTGCGGGCCGCGCGCGTACGTGCACGGCCATGGAGTGCGCCGCTTGGAAAGACGGGGCCGGTCGACCGGCGGAATAATGGGCACGGAGGCCGGACGCAGACACGCATCATGCACTGCCGGGCTATGCTTGATGCCCGATCGATCGGTGCGCTTTTGTGCCCCCCACCACAGTACTGCCACACTATTTCGTCGTGCAATTCTCGCGACGTGCAGTCGGCGCGCACTGCGGGAAAGTTTGACGCTGACACCAACGGAATTCCATCTTCTTCTTCTTCCTTTTTTTTTGTGAATAAACGGATTTCCATCTGTGCAGGCCAGGACCGTTACACGTACTGCAGTCATCTTCGGTGGTGACACTGATTGCTGATTCCGTGATACCGCCGTGACATGTGGACGCAAAGAATCGGATTTTTCTTTGCTTTCACTAATGGCGTACTGCAGAATTAGGTTTACGACAATTGTTGATCTGTGCTGCACAGAGAAATCAAGATCTTCCATTAGCGGGAAGTTCGTACGCGGCCACCTGGTTCTATATTTGAATCGAGCGCCTCGACGGATTGTCGCCACACGCACCACTCCCTCCACTCCCACTCCCACTCCCCCACGTACGCTGCGAGGTCCGAACGCGCAATGCAGCAACCACCCCGTCTCCTCCTCCTCCTCCTCCTCCTCTGCCTCGCCCCCTCGTCCGCGCTCGCCTCCGGCGGGGATGAAGGCGCGGCGACCTACATTGTGTACCTGAACCCCGCGCTCAAGCCGTCGCCGTACGCCACGCACCTCCACTGGCACCACGCGCACCTCGACGCGCTCTCCGTGGACCCCGAGCGCCACCTCCTCTACTCCTACACCACGGCCGCGCCGTCTGCCTTCGCCGCGCGCCTCCTCCCGTCACATGTGACCGAGCTCCGCGGCCATCCCGCCGTCGCGTCGGTCCACGAGGACGTCCTGCACCCGCTCCACACCACGCGCTCACCTTCGTTCCTCCACCTCCCGCCGTACAGCGCCCCGGCTCCTAACGCGGACGGCGGAAGCTCCGACGTCATCGTCGGGGTGCTCGACACCGGCGTGTGGCCCGAGAGCCCCAGCTTCGTCGATGCCGGCCTGAGCCCCGTGCCGTCGCGGTGGCGCGGGAGCTGCGAGACCAATGCCACCGACTTCCCCTCCTCGATGTGCAACCGCAAGCTCATCGGCGCGCGCGGCTTCTTCCGGGGCTTCGGGGCGGGCGGCAGGAACGGCTCCTCCCACGGAACCACCGAGCTCTCGTCGCCGAGGGACCACGACGGGCACGGCACCCACACGGCGTCCACGGCGGCGGGGGCCGTGGTGGCCGACGCGAGCCTCCTCGGGTACGCCCACGGCACGGCGCGGGGCATGGCGCCCGGGGCGCGCGTCGCGGCGTACAAGGTGTGCTGGAGGCAGGGATGCTTCAGCTCGGACATACTGGCGGGCATGGAGCAGGCCATCGAGGACGGAGTCGACGTGCTCTCGCTGTCGCTGGGAGGCGGCTCGTACCCGCTCTCCCGCGACCCCATAGCCATCGGCGCGCTGGCGGCCACCCGCCGCGGCATCGTCGTCGCGTGCTCCGCGGGGAACAGCGGGCCGGCGCCGTCGTCGCTAGTGAACACTGCCCCGTGGATCATCACCGTCGGAGCCGGCACGCTCGACCGGAACTTCCCGGCGTACGCGAAGCTCGGCAACGGCGAGACCCATGCCGGCATGTCGCTCTACTCAGGCGATGGGCTGTGTGACGACAAGTTCCCTCTGGTGTACAACAAAGGCATCCGCCCGGGCAGCAACGCGAGCAAGCTTTGCATGTCGGGCACGCTGGACGCGGCGGCGGTGAAGGGCAAGGTGGTCCTGTGCGACCGGGGCGGGAACTCGCGGGTGGAAAAGGGGCAGGTGGTGAAGCTGGCGGGCGGCGTCGGGATGGTGCTCGCGAACACCGCACAGAGCGGCGAGGAGGTCGTGGCGGACAGCCACCTGCTCCCTGCGGTCGCCGTGGGCGCCAAGAGTGGCGACGCCATAAGGACGTACGTGGAGTCGGACGCCGGCGCGGAGGTGGCGTTGAGCTTTGCCGGCACCGCCGTCGACGTGCACCCGGCGCCGGTGGTGGCCGCGTTTAGCTCCCGTGGGCCGAACAGGCAGGTGGCGCAGCTGCTGAAGCCGGACGTGATTGGACCGGGCGTGAACATCTTGGCCGGGTGGACGGGGTCCGTCGGGCCGACTGGGTTGACCATCGACGAGCGGCGGCCGGCGTTCAACATCTTGTCAGGTGAGCGCACGCTTTGCTTCTTCTTCAGTAGAAAAACTCTTGAGGATTGTACTGACCGGCACGTCTTTCTTGAAAATATGGACCTAAAACCCTAGACTTTACGGGTAGCCGTAGCAGCCATGCGAGCGTGCTATCGCTATGGTCGTCTTTAGGTGCTAGCCATCATGTTGTTAGCTTTAGGTGCAGTTCGCACGCATCGCAATGCCATGATAGTAATGGCAGGCTTTAGGCACGCGTTTTGGTGACTTCTCTTTCTCTCCAGTATGACTGAACTTACAAACTCGAGCTGCAAATAATTCAGTTTATGATGATGCAGGGACATCCATGTCGTGCCCTCACATCAGCGGCCTCGCGGCGTTCGTTAAGGCGGCGCACCCGGACTGGAGCCCCAGCGCCATCAAGTCCGCGCTCATGACCACCGCCTACACCGTCGACAACACCGGCTCGCCCCTCCTCGACGCGGCCGGCGCCAACGCCACGGCCTCGGCCACGCCATGGTCCTTCGGCTCCGGCCACGTCGACCCCGTCAAGGCCCTCTCCCCGGGCCTCGTCTACGACACGTCCATCGACGACTACGTTGCCTTCCTCTGCACCGTCGGCGGCGCCTCGCCCCGGCAGGTCCAGGCCATCACGGGGGCGCCGAACGCGACGTGCCAGCGGAAGCTGTCCAGCCCCGGCGACCTCAACTACCCGTCCTTCTCCGTCGTGTTCGGCCTCCGCAAGTCGCGCACCACCGTCAAGTACCACCGCGAGCTGACCAACGTCGGCGCCGCCGGGTCGGTGTACGCGGCCAAGGTCACCGGCCCGCCCAGCATCGTCGTGTCCGTGAAGCCGGCCAGGCTCGTGTTCAAGAAGGCCGGGGACAAGCTCAGGTACACCGTCGCGTTCAAGTCGACGGCGGAGGGCGGCCCGATGGACGCCGCGTTCGGGTGGCTGACGTGGAGCAGCGGGGAGCAGGACGTGCGGAGCCCGATATCGTATACGTGGGGGATGTAACACCCATGCATGGGCGAGTAAAATTCGTACGTAGCCGTGCCGGTGGCGTGATCGGCGTCGGCGGGGGAGATCGATGGAAGTGTTGCATAGGCTGGAAGAATTCTGGCTCCTGATTTCTGTGCTGTCAAAAAAGAGACAAGGCAATTAATTGTTTCAGGGGATGGGAACAGCACATTAATAAAAGGGATTGATTTGCTAGTAGTAATTTCCTCACTGCCTATAGAGCAGTTGTCTCAAAACAGTTTTAGTTCATCTTCCATAAATATATCAAGAAGCAGACACTTCAAAGAAACACAAAACTAACCTCTGGTTTCATACAAAATATACCATTTCCTCTCAGAGATGGCCTGCCGGCAGACGGGACGTGGAATTGAACTATGGTTATGTTCAGAAGTACCCTAGTTATATAGTGTCTTAATTATAACCATGCTTGACTATGCTTAATATAGGTTGAACTATGGTTGAACTATGCATGAGTGCGTTTATTATCTATGCCTGAGTATGCTTATATCTAGATGTGGGATGAGTATGTAATCAGTTTGGTTGATGAAATTTTATGCTTCTCTTAGACCAACATATGATTGCCCACATCACACACAGCTTACTAGCGTGAATCGTCTGTGTTATTTTCGATCTTCCCACATAATTTTATACTAGCAACTGTTTACCCACAACACGCATAGCTTATGTGTGAAGGGTTGGCAAAAAATTTGGTGTGGAGGTTTGGCAAAAAAAATTTGAACACGTATGGTGCATATTAGGGTGGATGTTTAGCGTGGGTATTTATTTCAGGGTCAACCGACAAAGAATATGTGACCCACTCTGAAACTTGGTGATTTTCCCAGATTGGAACCGTATGTGATGACTTTCATTGTGTCGTGGCATGTGTATTCAAATTGTCAAGAACGCATCCCCACGGATTGGACGTCTGCAACGTAGGATGTACACAGATCGAACGCTAGTCCATATCACCCTCGCACCGAAGTGATGTTAATCATAGACGGTTGGGTCTACCAAACCGTTGCCTCCGAAACGCATTCTAGGATTGAAAACCCTCACCACTCAATTCAAAACGGAAAAAAGAAAACCCTCAACCCCACGCGCCACCCCCTGGTCCCCATTCGCACCTCCACTCCTCCGTGACTCTGCATGTCACCGCTTATGGCCGCGGCAACCACTTAGCTCGACGCTTGTGCCGTTGCCAGTTACCGGCAAACCTCGCCGCATTTTGCCATTGCCGCTTGCCATCGACTTTTTCGATGCTGCTCGTCGTTGACCCAACTCCGCCAGATTTGGGAATCTACAGTATTGGATATTTTCTCATGGAGAACCAGGTAACTAATTTACTAAATTATTCGCTCATTTCTTATCCAAGTCCGTCTGCCCCTTTTAATCACCCTGCCGAAATCGATGTGAATTCATTTTTCTTCTAGCTGATTTGAGGGTTTTCATTCATAGAGAGTATAGTGCAAGGGGACATTAGGCCTATGCGGCCTCGGCCAGACAACCAAGGAGTTCCATCTCACTGTACCAGATGACTTCATGAAGCGCACGGTATGTTCAATCTCACCCTACCTCGGTTGACATGGCCTACTTTTCTGAACATATACTATATATTGCTACATTTGGATAAAAGGTGCCACATGCAGCATATACGTCGAAGGTTTTTCTTCTTCTTTCTATATTAGGAAAATTAATGTTGCATTGTTCTTTCGATTACTCTCATATTTGCATGACATCATGATTACATTATCTGTTTAATTATAATGTTTTGTCCTTTGATTTCAAATGTTGTAATATTCTTTCAATTACTCTCATATTTGCATGTTACCATATTCTCTAACAACCTTATCATTTCCTTCAGTACATCCCTTGCTTTGCAACAACAACTGTAATACACAGTCTTAGCCTCTACATCACTGAAGACTCCAGGGATGTCATATTGAACACAAATCATGGATTTACAATCTTCGCTTCTGTAAAACTTGATGAACATGGTCATTCCTATTTTGGTGCGGGCCTTTCGACAAAAAATTCTAAATTTTATGTAGTGAAACTTGTCACTAAAATTGCACTGTACCTAAAAAAGCCTGGTCATATAATATATGGTAACTTCCTGGACGATATTACCCGTCTAAACTTTGTTCTAAGTAAGTGTTTTTTTAATATCTGCATGTTGACTTACCTAGCAATATCAAAGTAATTGTATAGTATTTATGAAGGAAATATGCCCTAGAGGCAATAATAAAGTTGTTATTTTATATTTCCTTACTTCATGATAAATGTTTATTATTCATGCTAGAATCGTATTAACCGGAAACTTGATACATGTGTGAATACATAGACAAAACACCGTGTCCCTAGTATGCCTCTACTAGACTAGCTCGTTGATCAAAGATAGTTAAGTTTCCTAGCCATGGACATGTCATTTGATAAACGAGATCACATCATTAGTCAAATGATGTGATGGACAAGACCCATCCGTTATCTTAGCATAATGATCGTTCAATTTTATTGCTACTACTTTTTTCGTGTCAAATATATATTCCTCCGACTATGAGTTTATGCAACTCCTGGACACCAGAGGAATGCCTTGTGTGCTATCAAATGTCACAACGTAACTGAGTGATTATAAAGATGCTCTACAGGTATCTCCGAAGGTGTTTGTTGGGTTGGCATAGATCGAGATTAGGATTTGTCACTCCGAGTATCGGAGAGGTATCTCTGGGCCCTTTCGATAATGCACATCATATGAAGCCTTGCAAGCAATGTGACTAATGAGTTAGTTACGGTATGATGCACTACGAAATGAGTAAAGAGACTTTCCGGTAACGAGATCGAACTAGGTTTGAAGAAACCGATGATCGAATCTCGGGCAAGTAACATACCGATGACAAAGGGAATAACTATGTTGACATTGCAGTTCGGCCGATAAAGATCTTCGTAGAATATGTGGGAACCAATATGAGCATCCAGGTTCCGCTATTGGTTATTGACCTGAGAGGTGTCTCGGTCATGTCTACATAGTTCTCGAACTCGTAGGATCCGCACGCTTAACGTCCGATGATGATATGTATTATATGAGTTATGTGTTTTGGTGACTGAAGGTTGTTCGGAGTCCCGGATGAGATCACGGACATGACGACGAGTCTCGAAATGGTCGAGAGGTAAAGATTGGTATATTGGAATGTTATATTCGGACACCGGAATGGTATCGGAAAGGTTCAGATATTTTTTGGAGTACCGGGAGGTTATCGGAACCCCCCAGGGAATTGTTGGGCCAACATGGGCCATAGGAGAGGGGGGAGGCAACCCACATGGGGTGGCCGCACCCCCTCCCTTGGGGAATCCGAATTGGAATAGGGGAGGGGGCGTGCCCCCTTTCCTTCTCCTCTCCCCTCTCCCTTTCCCCTTTCCCCCCTCTGGAAGAAGGAAAAAAGGGGGGGGGGATACTACTAGTAGTGGAGTCCTAGTAGGACTCCCCCCATGGCACGCACCCGTCGTGGCTGGCCTCCTCCCCTCTC